CGCAGGTGTCGATTTGTGTTACGTAATCTATAACGCGTAACCGTCACCGAGAATGGAATTACGGCAAAGACCTTGTTCTAGCGAAATTGGTAAACCTCGCGAGAGATCAAGCGTCGTTCGCGCGCACGAAGGATCGCTGCGTGTGAAACTCGAAAGTTGCGTAACGAGCCGGGAAAACGGAAACTACTTTTCTGAAACGGGAATCGATTCGATCGATCGAAACATCGTGTTTTCTTCATTTTTTGCGCATGACTGTGAAACATCCGATGATATCGCCTAATTAGGAAGCAATTAATTCTTATCTGTACGCTGAACACATTACGTGTGCTGGGAACTTGTAAAAAGGAGGAGAAATGGCACAGAAAGAAATATTGATTTGGTTCGCGGTAAATTTTGAAATTGTTGAACACTCTTTACCGCTAAAAGGAAAATAATGGAACCCAGGTACTGAAATAAAGAATAATTCTACAATACATTTAATGAAAATTAGTTACAGGATGGTACAGAATTAAAACAGAGTGGACGCGTTTATTAACATGTGCTACCACAGACCGTATATACTCAACGACTATAGAGTCAAATTATAGTGCGTATTCCGTGTAATCGTTGGAAGTACATTACTTTTATCTGTATTTATATTGGTGTTCTATTGTCCTTTACTGTTTACGTACATCGATGTGTTCCTTTACAGATCCAACACATCAATAACACATCTTCCTTTCCTCATTATGGAATGCTAATATACAGAGTGTCCCATAAATGTTGGAGGTCCTTGAAAGTGGTAATTCGGAGGGTGATTTGAAACAACTTTTTCCTTAGCGAAAATGTTATCCGAGGCTTCGTTAATGAGATATTAACAGAAAACTCTACCAATCAGAGCGCGAGTATGCCGTTGGAGCGGCCACAGTAGAATAGGCTACGCGTCAGACGGCCGCAGTAGTATAGGCTACGCTCTACCGACGTACTCGCGCTCGGATTGGTCGGAGTTTTCTGTTGATATCTCCTTAACAAGTTCCTTGCACAACATTTTCGCTAAGGAAAAAGTTGTTTTAAATCACCATCACTTTCAAGAACCTTCAACATTTTTGGGATACCCTGTATATATATATTTTTTTTTTCAACAGTAAAACATTATTTCTTTTTCTTTATAAAGAGTATAGCCAGATAGGAGAATTAAATGTATCTCTAAACCAAATTCGACTTGCGATGGGTCATTCGATAGCATAAAAAACTAACTATTTGGGCCAAGTTTCAAGTCTGTATCTCAACTGGAAGAGAATTAAAAGAGAAAAAAGCAAGAACAAATTTTTGCTCAATTTCTCTGACATTGTTAGATGTCCTCGGGGGCTGTAGCTATGTTTGATTGTAAACACAGTATGGATTTAGCAATCTCGAGGTACCCGAGTTATAGAGGGACCAGTGGGTCCTAACAGACTACTCGCATCCATAATGGAGTTGCCAGAAAATTATGAAGAAAGGTATGTAGGGAAATGGAAATGCAAAGTAATATAAAGCAAGAATTAACACACTACCTACCATTAAATGTTTGCGAGAAAAGTTCCTTTGGTACCGTGTGAAATTCGAAATAATCAAAAACAGGGTGTCCCGCTTTTCGAGGAACCGTGAGAAATCTGAATAAAACAGCTTTTTATTACCGTAAAATTTAATATTATTTCTAGAAATATAGTTTTAGTATTTATAATGAGTTGGATAATTAGAGTATTTAGTATTTTATTTTTGTATGATACTTTTGTAAACACTCTTCGATATGTAGCGGTATCTAACAAGTTTTGCACATGTATGTACTTGGTTTCCTTATCTTATGAGCGGAACATACTCTGCAATTTCTTCTAACGAGTTTGTTAGCCTTATCGCCGGAAATTTTTACCACCTCATGTTGTTTGATAGAACCAAATAGTCGACCTTGTAGATCAAACCGGAATATTCTTGTAAAAGAAGTACTAGGTGTATTAGTTTCCACATCTTCGTCACAGTAGGAGTTGAGACAGCCGTGACTCGGCAAGAGTGAGCAAAAAATTAGAAAATTGTAATTGTTTGTCAGGATTTAAAGTTTCGAAGATTAATAAATGCATTTACAAGTCCACAATTAAATAAATGGATAGTAGTATGAAAGATACCGATCAGCAAGGTCTATACCGCCCATGAAATTATTATGATCAATGCTTATTGGTTTTTTTATCGAAAGACCCGTTTCCATCTTTCTTCCCTGTATCATGAAGCCATGATTGATGAATTGTTGAAATCATCGTGACTTTCTTATTTTTGTTGGATTTCCACATTTCCAGCAGTACTTGTCCTTTCCGGTGATATATATATTCAATTACATTTAGTTTTATTTGTTTGTTTTTTGTTTTGTTTGGTTGTTTTGATGTACAAATGTATGCACACGGTAGGTAATGTGTTAAATGAATGTAAAGAAGAAATAAATGTACTTACATTGTTAGGTGAACAATTTTGAAAAAAACCTTGAAACTTGACACGAATTATTCTTTTTTTATACTATTGAATGACCTGTTAGTTTGGTTTAGGGGTTTATTTGATGCCTGTAACCAGCTATACCCTTTATAAAATTTAAAAAGCTGCAAATCCAAATGATTGAGAAGCTATTTAACACATAGTACCTATTCAAGATTGAAATTTATGTCATATTAACTAGCATGACTTTACAACTCGAGAAATGTCCATAATCGGAAGTTCAACATACTTGTGGTTTAATGCATCCACTTTTGCGCAAGATACGACCATTTAATAACACGATACACCCGTCTTAAAAAAAATTTCAGATTTTAACGAGGAAGCTCGTTGAGTCTAAATGGCAAACCAACAATAAAGTAATCAATTTGTTGGCGATAGCGAGAGAGAGTACAGCGAGCTGACGGGAACCGGAAAGAATGTAACGCGCATGCAGCTGTAAAATGAGCTCGAAGCGCCAGCAGACTGTCGGGTTGCCTTTCGCGGCGATTTCTGATCAGACCCGATCCTCGATCGCGGAAAGAATTACGAGCAAATACGTCGCGAGTGCGCAATCCGAACGTACGGTAATCGATGTTGCGATTAATTATCGCGGGAACAGGTTGGAAATCAACTCTCGAGTTATGCGACCCAAGACGCAGTAATCGAAGAGTCCAAGGGAAGAACGATTATACATAGTTACACGAAGTAAAAGTTCTAGTATTAGAAAACGAAACTTCGTGAACTCCTTTTCACTAGACACGACACATTATTTAAAGCCTTGTCGACCGGCTGTTCAAAGCCAAAACTATTCCGTGCAGGTGGCTACTTTCCTACAATTGAATATAAAATGAAAATATCTAAGTAAATTTCAAAAAACTTTATTTAGATATATATTTAATAAATGTCTCGACTATGGTATAGAAAATAGGATTTATCTATATGTATCACCCCTGGTGAACAAGTTTTCGGTTAGACACTTTAATAGAAAACTTTTTAAAAATATTCATGTTTTACAGTACCTAGTAATTTATTATCATACTAGTTAATCCCGGCGAACGTTGTTTCATCTCATTCTTAAATGTTTTTTCGTTATTTAAACCACTTTATTGAAGAAAGAAAATACCGTTTTTATGAACTACATACGACAATACAATAATATTCATACGTTAATGTTAATCAAAGTGATTTATTTAAAGTATAACTGTATAAGCGTGAGTTATATGACACAGGAAAGAGTTGGAATACTATATATTCTATATCAGAATGTTAATTCGGAAACATACATTTATGTATTAAAACATTTTTTTAATTCTAATCATAGAAAACTAATTTGAAAATTCTTCAGACTATTCTTTTCAAAATGTTAATGCCACCTGTCACCGCAACAAAATAGTCAAACACTATTTACAACAGAATCGTACTAAAGCAATGAAATGGTAAGTGAAAAGCCCCAATCTGAACCTCATTGAAGACATATGGGAATAATTAAAGAAACTACACTTCGTAAAAAAAGATCACAAAGTAAAGATAAACATCGACAAGTTATAAAAACATTCTGGACAGAAATGTTAACTACAAATTGTAAAAATCTTATAACTTCAATGTCACAATGTACTAAAGCAGTAACATGTACGAGAGGGAACATAACAAAATATTAATATTTATAAATAATCCCGTATGAATTTAAGTTACTAAATCAGATCGAAAACTATTTTCCTCGATTTCTATCGATCGTAAATTTTTTCTCATGTAATATTTTGTTTGTTTGATTTTTTCTTTTTGATAATAAATTAGAATTAATGTATTGTAGTGTTATTTATTTTAAATTACGTTCCCCTCGCTGTCTACTAATTTCAATCACGTTCGATAACATTTTATAATTTTAAAACATGAATGTTCTTAGTTAGTTTCCTATTTTGTTATTTAATCGAAACCTTATTGGCAGAGTGTTTTATATGCAATGATACACAGTAAGTTTTCTAAATACATATATCCAATTGCTACTATTTTCGTTAAACTTGGCCTTGCATTTTTTTGCATAACTGCAAAGGTAAATCTTTAACAGACAGAAAAAGCAAGAATGGCGTCTTAGAATTACAGTAAAATATTAAGTAAGTCTATCTTAATTAATATAATTATAAATACATACGACCCAGAGCGCTGCTATAAAAACCTATTCTGCTCTCAGGCTTCGAAGCTGCATAAACTAAAATAAGTGCAACCAACATACTCGTGTCGGTCAACAAAGTGTCAATATTCTTTTCTTCTAGAATTGTTTAAAAATCATTAGATGAATGCATTTTGTGATCACTTTCGTAGATTGATTAGGAATTATTATTTCAATAGTATTCTGAGGATGGTTTTAAACTAAAGAATCGAAAATTTGAATATTTATTATATGGAATTATATCTATAATGTTTTCTAAAATTTGTCTAACAATCTTCGTAATTCTTCGAATGTATAAAAATTGTTTTCTCGCTAATAATGTACAGCATATGTAACATTCATCGTTTCTGCTTCACAGTACATTCAATACAAGACTGATCTGCCGGATATAAAGGAGTTTACTCTGTGCGCTTGGACCAAATTCACCAACCACTCGAACGACCATCCTATATTTTCGTACGCAGGTGAGTTCGAGCAATACTCGTTTCTTTCTCCTTTCACCTCTTCATACTTTTTTCTTTTACCCTGTGCACGCGTGATCGAGACACGAGAAAGCGAAAGTCCGTCGGTCTTTTTGATTCGTGCGATTCACTGCGTGGGTTAGTATGAAAAATGAAATCCTTATCCGATTGAGTCTGAAGAGTTTCGCGAGTTTCTTTTCCAATGATCGCCACTATCTCCTTAGCCCCCATCTTACCTTATTTCTTAGCTTTCAAATTTATTCGAATAATGGATGGCGATTTATTTGCAACATTTATTCGATTTAACGCAGTGGTTACACATTATATGAAATAAATTTTACCAGTTAATGGTCGGAACAAATAAACGGTATACACTTATTCATATTTTATATCATTTTCATTTATTTTAAATAGTTTTGTATTCTTTAATTTGAACATCTTGTTATATCCTTCATTGAAACAATGTACAAAATAGAGTGTTTTTTCTTATATTAAACTCTTGGATTAGCTCATTAAAAACTGGAATATTGAATCAAATTTACTATCTTTTTAAAAAATATTCAATGTTGTTGAGTACAAAATGTTCCTGATAATATTATATAAATAATTTTAACGAGACGGAATATATTTCTCTTTTTCTATCCATATTAATGAGTCCATTAATCACAATACAAGAATCTACTTTAAAAGCAGCACGATAAACTGATGATTTAATTAGCTACGATCAATTTACGTAAACATAAAGTGACACACTGAACAGCGGATGTTATATTCGTTATAATTGAAACAAACACGTAACAGATTAAACGCACGCGAGTACTTTCTTTTACGAAGCTTTGCTGGATAAATACACGCTGTTCGTTTCATCAGAGATCTGATCATCAGATTATCGTCACGTTGTTACCTCGCGTGTAATGTTACACAATAATTGGAATGATGGAATGAAATCCCAACTTTGTTATGCTTACAATATTTTCCTATATTTGTTATTTCTTAAGAAATTTAATTATATAGTTTGTCTAACAAAACCGCGACCGTTAACATTTTTAAATGGTACTCGTTACACAGAAAATTGTACAAGTGTTTAATACCTGAGCAATTTCCCTACGATGCATAATAGAACAACAATTATTTGTCATTAAACGGTTGTAAAAAGATCGACAGGATCAACAATGTCGTGTAATGAAAGTGTAAAGCATATACAACGGTCAAAGACATTTGCATATAAGTAAATTAAACATTTTGAAGAAACAAAGTATCGATGACCTTTCAAAACGTGGCTCGATGCGCAAAACCACTCCTAAGCAGGATAAACAAATCGCGGAAATATTTTTGCCGAGTTCTCAACTTTTATTGCGTGATAAGTAAGTAAAATTGGAGGAAAAAAGGTGTAAATATATGTTGTAAAACAATTCAAAGTCACCTATATAAAACATAAAATATCGAAGCACAATGACGAAATCTGAACTGTTCGAAAACAGAAAAATACGTAGAGAACAGAAAGTCGTGAACACGTGAAAATTTAGATCGTTATGAACGAACAAAATTTTTTCTGTTCTTCAATATAAAACTGAAGGTTCGTAGAAAATATATGAATGATGTGGAGGTCCCCCTAGGGAGGAATACCCTGAGAACTAATAAAAAGTGTGCCTCAAACGTCATACTAATACAAATACGCTGTAGCACTAATCCAATAGTATATGTATATCCCTTTTTATTTTTTTTAAACAAGAAGTTTTAAAGTATGGCGGTCACGCTCTTATTAGACGCTCTTTTAGTGTTCACCTCTCGAATACGATTGTCGATAGATAAGAACAAAACCGTGCATAATGTTTGTCATAGAGGTCGATTCGTGTGCCAAGTTCTATCAACATCGCTAATTGTCAATTGGGTCATTTTCCTTGTTAGTCATGGTAGACTTAACAGAGTTCTCTGTTAGATTCAAATCAGGTCGCGAGCCACATTAAATCACTCGGCGAGGCATTCAGTGTGCATCTCTGCTCTAGCCTCTCGATTCATTGCTGCAACTCGCCCTCAATCTACGCTCATAATTCTGAACCTCGAAGGCAAACTACGCCAAGTTCAAATTATGGAAATTTAGGGTAAACGCGTCGAATCATTTAACATGATAAAATTGTGAAACGTTTGTCGTCGACATCGATTGGATATATGTTGAGAAGCGTGAAATAAATAATGCGACCTGCGTCTGAGACAGACCTGGGCATGTTTGAAATGATACATTATTTGAAATACCATTTCAATGTTATCGACGTTACTTATTAATATTATTTGTTATTTGAAATAATATTTGAAATAACACGTTATTTTACTTTGTAATTGTTTTCATATCTGTGATCACTTTTGAAATAACATTATTTAGGATATTATATCAAATAATGTATTATTTTATTTTACAATTACTCGAGATAATCGTTTGAAATAATTGTGAAATTTTGTTTGGAAAATGATATCAGGTAGAATCGCAAATACGTGACGATATCGAATTTGGAAGTAATGAAGATGAAATTGCAAAGAATTCCACGTTTTTGATTCAAACTTCAAAAGAAATGAATTTATTGACATTTTTACAAGATAAAAAGGCTGATCTGTCTATGTTTAATGATCATCCGATTATAAAAGACGATTTTCAGAGGTAGAAGTCATTATCAAGGGAACGATTATTTTCTTCCGCGACAATATGCAAGCCACCCGATCATTTTCTTTGAATTTTCATTGCAAAGAAAATTCTGTGCAGACTTTTTGAAAAATGAGTTTTATTCAAAACAAAGTGCTGTAAACATTTTTTTTTTTTAAATTAAATTTGGAATTAAGAAATAAGAAAATAATTCATTGTTTGAAATAGTTATTATTTCAAATGACTTGATATTATTTTTATTTTCCAAAATAAGTTATTCTTATTTTCATTGCAATTAAAATTTACCCAGATCTGATCTAAAGGTATAGGATTCAAAACAATAAAATTATTAATAAAATAATTAATAAAATAATAAATAAGTAATAAATAATAATAATTTAAATAATAGAATAATTATTATTTAAATAAATTACGAAGAATAAAATAAATAATAAAGTTTGCATCTAAGGCACAGGATTCGATGCGAAGTTACCCGTTAAACGCTGCACTTTGTTGATATCCTTGGAATGCGAGTTTCGTGAGCAAACAAACTGGAAAATATCGTGGCGCAATCGCGTTAATTCACCTAGAACTACTACACCCTCCTTCGCGCCGTCCCAGCTTCATATTCCCTCGACTTTCAAGCTAATTTTTTCACGTTTGGTTTCTAGTCGGTGACCAACCGCGAGGGATACTCGCTTGGGTGGCCAACACCGCGAGAAGTTCCTACTACATGATGAACATCGACGGGCACAACTTGTACCGATTGAATTATCCGCTGCGATTGAACAAGTGGTATCACTCCTGCCAAAGCTGGAACGGCCGCACCGGGGAATGGCAGATCTGGGTCAACGACGAGCGCGTAGGTCGCGGGTTCAACAACAGAGTAAGCACGTACCACCGATCTCTATTCGACATAATCCTTTGGTTACTGTGGGGGCTTACGAGCTCTACAAATGTCCACACAGTTTTAAAGTTTTAGTTAAAAGTACAGTTTTAGTTAAAATGTTGAAGTTACAGCATCTGAACGCAGTAAAAATCGGGGGTTGAAAACAGCTATGATATCGGTTCAGGTTCTCAATACACTTACGATAAAAGATATTATAACAGTTATTGATCGAAACGGTTCTAGCTTATATTAGTTACGGTTTTGGTTTTACAGAAATATATCGATGGAGAAATATATCGATTGTATAGAATTTTTAGATTTACTGAGTAGAAATATTAAATCAATAGTGCATCAATTATTAATATATTTATTAAATGTAAAGATTAATTCTTTGCTTTTATATTCAAGCATCTATAACTCTAGTTTAAGTAGAAATACTTACTTGTCATTTTGTTATATTAAAATACAAACCTTTCAAGTCCTTAATTTAATCAACATGAATTCATTTTTACAATGAGTTTGTGTAGGTAGAGAACTAAAGTCTCTACCTGATAGCCATTATAATTATAATAATTGTTGGAGCATAATAATAAGCACAATTTCATGGATACTAAAGTTCATATACAGAGTGTCTACGCTAAAGTGTGCAAGAGGGATAATTCAATAATTATTGATGATACGAAAAAATTGTTTTTATGTAAATTGTAGGATACTATGGGCTCTATATTGTGGCGTAAACGAAATTTTTGTTATATTATTAATTTAGAAAATATGATTGTAAAGATTTTTAAATGGAACTATATATTTTTGAGGGGATCATGCGATGCGCCCTTAATGTATTTACCTGGTTTTTATTAGTTTTCAAGATAGAACGCTTCGAAATTTACTGATTTCCAGCGGAAATGTCTCGTTTTCCATCGCGGTCTAAGTTTACCGCGTCCTCAAATGTTGTTTATATATTACACACACAAACATGCCATTCTGCCCAGTTTATAGCGACGCCTTAATTAATAACAATTTTCGAAGCATGTAAACAAAATTATGTAAATGTCTTATAAGTACAAGATTGGAACTTCGTGGAGTGATAAAGTAGACTTCAAAGTATAGGATAATGATATTCTGCCGCGTCGGAAGCGTTGCCATCAATGTTTTGCCGCCCGCCCAAGATATTGAGAAGACATACTTTCTTTTTTTATTTATTAGTACAAGACTGAAATTTTGTCATCAATCACTTTACCACATAAAGCATCAAGAAAATAAACTCTACCGATCGCTTAATGTTGCTAAAGTCTTAGCTAGAAAAATCAGCTTTCTACTCATTGTTGTGAAAAAAGTGTCGCTGTTTCCTGTACTATTATGCAGAGTGTTTCTTACTAAACTTTTCGAATGTGTTCTATGAGCAGAAATAAGAAACACATTTTCATGTAAAAACACAAGCCTAAAATTGCTTTGTTATCGTGTTTCCATTTAAAGTTACTGCTGCTCTGTTTCTAATGTAAACTCGACATCGATTGAATGGCGGACTGAATTTAATACCGTTGGAATTTCATGTCTATCATGCGTTAGTTCAATGAGTCATTTCTTCTTTCGATTAGTCCTTGATGCGAATTAGATCTCACATGGTTCGCTATAGTTTTCACAGTTCTCACAGGTAAAAGTCCAGATAGTGTCAGATCTGCTGATCTCATTGTACAAATTACCTTTACTGATTTCAAATCGCAAACATCGCTGAAGTAAACACGATTAGAATATGCATCGCTGACCTACTCTTCGCATTGCATCAACAGCGAAGCTGCTACTGCATTCACGATTAACATTTCCGTTGTAATTTTTTTTGTAGTAAAGCATTTCTTGATTTACTATTCCAAAGCAGGGCAGTGTTTTGATCCTGCGGATCCATCTCCATCTTTTTCTACTCTAAAACCAAACATGGAGCTAACATTTGGCTAAAACCGAACTCTTTGGAAGTTCTTTAGTAATTCTGTACTTCTTCACCTTTTCTTAATGTGTACGATACACAACATTTTCTTTTCGTAATTCCTATTACGAACATAACAGAAAAATAGTCTTCATCTGTGATTGCGCGTGATAAAAAGTTATGATAGTAATTCGTTTGGACAAACAAGGTGTAAAGTGATATAACAAATCAAACTAATTTTACAACTAAGACTACCAAGATTAATTTTATTTATGTATTGTACTTAAAGTTTCTTCTTAAAATTACTGACTATTACTAATAGTTCTATCGTAATTTTTAGAAACATCTATTGTTATAGAGAATTAATTTTCAAATTAGTTTGCTCCCCCTCCCTCTAATTTCAAAAATATAGTTCTATGTATGGACAGATATACGACCACCTCGGTAGAATTAGTATTAACGATATACCATTTCAATTTTTCATATCAGGGTAAACATATATGAAAAGTGCTTATTAACCCTTTGCACTCGAGGCCTTTTTTCTGGTATCTTTTAGCAACTCGAGCTGCTTTCTTAGCATTCTATTGTCACGAATGCTAAGCTTAGATTGACTTCGAATATGAGATTTAAGTATCAGGTCACCTTTGTCTCAACGACAATCATTTTATTGACACTTCGAGTTCCAGAGAAATTAAACCTAAAGAAAACCTAGTGGTGACTGAGAGTCACCTCTCGAGTGCAAAGGGTTAATATCTACACTAATATACCAAATGTCTCATAACCACTGAACTGTGTTTAACGCACCCCAGAGCTAACCAAAACCAGGGGTGAGATGATCCTAATAATTAGCCCTTTCTTCGTTATTCGCTTCGTCGACACAGGAATCAAAGTCTCCCGTTAACTTTAGTTTCTTACGTTATAAGAAACTTTATGCTTGAGTATTATCTTACCGATAAAGCCATGCACAAACAACGTCATAGTATATACCCTTTCCTAACGAACAACGGTGGTCCGTGAGTTATCTCGTCCACGAATGCAGAGGGGTTGTACACAAGTTCCTGATTCTCGTTTTTTGAGCAGAATAGACCGTCGCGTCGAGTGTTCCCTTGCATTGCAAAAGCCCGCGTTTCGAGGGGCGTCTCCGTGCAACGGTGACCGTGAAAATGCAACATCGTCGCGAACATTGGCCTAAAATGAAAAGGCACGTCGAGCAATACGAAAGGAACGAAGTACGCTTTTTACGCCACCACCGGCGCGCTCCAAATTCTCTCGCGCTGACGTCCTCGTAAAAGATCACAATTTAGGGTAAGGTTGCAAGGCGGCAATTTGCTCAACCTTGCCCTTTCACCTTCCTTTTTCTATCAATATGTGTCGTGTTTTCGCGTACCGAGTTTACATTCTTTTATTTTCCGCGTTGTGGTGAATGAAGTTGCTGAACCAAATAAAAAGTAGACAAATGCTTTCGAAACCGTTTTGTTGGCAAATGAATAAATAAAACATTTGACATTGCAAGGAATTGTTTTCCAAGAAGAATTTGGTCTAGAAACACTATAAAAATTAGGCTGGCAAGGAACATTGTTTTTTACAGTTACAAAACTTGAGATCCTCGATAACCTCTCCTTTCTCTAAAGACTAAATTTATTTTTCGATTATATTGCTTCGAAGATAACTCGAATATAGTCGGAAACCCTAGCATCGATCAAGTATAGAGTGTTCCGTTTAATTCGGAACGGTTGAACATCACACGATGAAGCTACGAGAAGAATGTTTATACTAAAGTTATTTGCTACAAAGGGGGACCATTTATGAAATAAACAATTTTCTTATAAGTGATGAGTAGACTGCGGGTTTTTATGCTTTTATAGGAAATTTGAATATGCAAGAAGCTACAAAATGCAAACAATATGCAAGAATATAAAGTTCATGTTATAATATTTGTAGAATAAAATAAATTCCTATTTAGGTTCAATTTTTGTAGGCATGTTCGCGAAGATTTTATTTTGCATAAAGATCCGCAGTCTAGTGATGAGTATTAAAATAAATGCTTTCGCATTATAGGTCGATGAATGAATACCTAAACAAACACCATCTAACAAAAATATATATGGTTTCATTTGAAAAGATTAATTTTTCGTTTAAAACCTCCCAGCACTTCTTTTACACGTAACTTATTTACTTCATATGATGTTCGTATAATGTTTTGTATCAAATAACTTTTATAAAAACATTTCATCGATAGCTTCACCTCTCTATGAGATATTTAACCATTTCGCTTTAAACGAAACACCCTGTACATGAAATAAAAAGTTCGCGTCGACCGACAAACTAATTGTACAGCGTAAGCACACGCGTCGCTTTTTCAGGTCGCGGAAAATGAAAAGGCACGTCGAGCAATGCGAAAGGAACGAGTGCTCGGTTTTTGCGCCATCAACCGCGCGCTCTAAATTCCCTAGCGGTGACGTCTTCCGTAAGGATCGCGAGTCGCGAACGTCGTTCTAAGAACTTTCCGTTTAGAAAAAAAAAAAGAACAACTCGAATTCCCGCCAGAATTTCCGCGTGGCGGCAATCGTCGAGCGGGAGCGCTTTCACGCTCCGCGTTGCGATTGCAGACCACGCGCCGCCATATGTCCTCGATAAAGAGCCAATGCCACGGTTTCAGATGTATCGCGTTTATCGTTTTGCGCGTTGCGTTCTTGAAAGTCGACCGCTATCTAGCGTGACAAGTCGCGGAGTCTAGTAGAAAGTGATATTCGGAAATGCCGTCTGGTTCGAGGCCTATTCCATAGTCGACGCATTTCTCCGCATCATTCGAAAGAGCTTCCTTGCGTAAGACCTCTCGTGTCCCGTTGTCAGAGCGATGCAAATTGTGCTAGGAGTTCCCATCGAGATGGATGACTGGTTTTCCAGGAACGATCTCGAAAGTAATCTAAAAGGGGGAGTCTTAAGGGGGCTTCCTGCTTTCCTGAGCCAGAAAATAAGTAATATTTGCAATTTTTTCTACTAAAGTATTGAGCATACGGAGTTTCTATTTCTAACGTCTTTTCGTTGATTTTTCGTTAATTTATATGTTGATGTTTGTAGACATGTAATAATACAAAGGTGCTCGATATTGAAAATACGAATATGAATAATACGATTAGGACCACCTGAATCATCAAATTCAAAAAGATTCTATATGAGTGTGCCTTTGTATGCATAGCTGTAACGATACGCGCAGTGTGTCTGACATACATTGTCTCATTCTCCTTCAGCCCATTGCACGGAGCGTAACCCATGGGATTTTTGTTTCCTTTTAATTATTTAACCATGTTTCAGGACTCCGACCGTTCTGAAACTTTTACACGTGTCAATTAAATAACCGATCATCACTCCCGATTTTTTTGGTTGGTCTCACTCACAGGGTTGCTTGCAATTACCACCCGCAAAAGATAAATTATTTATTTTCTACCCTTACTAATTAAAAAAATACCTCGAAACAAATATATGAGATGCAGTTTATAAGTACGAATATTTTCGTGTTTGCAGAATTGAAATATCTGAAATAGTAACCGAGAAAAAAAGGAATAAATTTAAAGGTAACGGTCTGAAACTTTGTGGGATGATGTTTTAGGTGAAAAGCATTGCACGGCACATAATAGCAATGAAAATTGGGCTGGGGGCCGATTGTCTATCCTTATCTTGCTAGATCCTTTGAAACAAACTTCGTTTATTAACATTCAAATATCTCCTTAAACCTATGATGAATAAAATCAATTTGAGAATTCAACAAATGGCCGGTATTCAAGTAAAGTTTAAATTTTGCACAAAATTTTTTCTTTATTTCACACTTTTCTTTAAATATTTTTATGTATTCATATACGTGGTATATTAACACTTTAAGCACCGGACCCGCTTGAAAGCATTTTTATATATTCGCGCAGAAAAAATACGTATCTGTTAAACACTACATGAGACGGTATTTATATTACTGAAAATCGTGTTAGAGTCAGCATATTTCTACAAAATTCGTAAATGTTGTACGGCTTTAGATAAAACGCCAATAAAATAGTCGGCGATATAAACGTTAATATACAGTACATATCCTGGTATCCTGTGATATGCAGAAGTATTGTATTTTTCTCGAATTCGTATTAATATTGTCGAAGGAAATAAAACAAGAAAAACGAAAATTTTTTTCGCGAAGGAGTCGTTGACCTCTCTAGGAGCATTTTTGGATGGCATTTTCTCAAACATGAAGTTGCCGAATCACCGATACGGGAACCCATCCGCAGCAGAATTTTGTCTCTGTTATTGGTTTCAGCGGTTATCGAAAAACGTCGAACCGAAAGAGAGGGAGAGAGGAAAAACGGATAAACGTAATCGAAGAAGAGAATGCACAGGGAAAGGAGAATTTTATTTCGATAGGTTCACAGCGCCTCGGAAAAGGTGAAATCGATTTGACGCGGCGAAAAATGGAAACATCTCCAAACGAACGAAAAATCGGACGTGGGACGAAGCTGAAAAAACGTTTCGTCGAATACAGGGTCTCTCAAACTGAGTTCCGTGAATTAATAGTAGTCCGCAAATTTTTGAGAGGAAAGAAGCATATTATAGTTTACAATATAAAAACTGCTTCTTGTAATATGTAATTTTTATTTCTTAACTGAAACTGTTTGTATACTCTCTGCGGAAAAGCGTGTTGAAAAATGGCAAAATAGAGTTTGTCTTTTTTGTTCTTTAACAGAGAAACTTTTACAAACGTATAAAACCATTTCAATTGGAAAAAACAATTCTTAAAAGATAATATATTTTAAGAAATATGTTTTAATTATACCACAAAAATAAAAATTTCAGTCTCTTTGGGTTTGTCAAAAATTTTGCTTTTGTTGGAATGGTTCAACAAAATTCGTCACCGATATATTCTGCGGAACGGCGAAGTTTAAGTAACGCTGGCATTGTATTTCGTCGACGTATTATTAGGAGAAAGAATGATCGGTCCTGTGGTAACTTGTTGACTGCAATGTCACATGAATTTGAGTGACATGTCCTGCCTATAGGGGGGACACGTCACTCGAATACGAGTGACATTCGTATTTACTTGGTTACGAATGATACTAGTGCGCATTTCTGACAGAGTGTTATGCTTTCTTCGATAACATGTTCGTCGTGCAGTCATCGATGTTCGCATCATCGATATCCGAACTGGAATTACTCCATAATTTTATTTTTATTTGTACGCCTTCTATATGTAGAAGTCAATTCATTTTCTCGAATACTTTGCCAGTTATTCTATTATTATAATGGAATATATACAGGGTGAAGCATATAAAACAGGCCGCCTGAATAAATGGTTTACTTTTAGCGATAGAAAAAAAAGTGCCGAAGAAGAGTTGTTTGATTTCGAGGTGCACATAACGCGGCGCCAATAATGTTTTTATCAGTGGAAGCGTAGAACAGATATGAAGGTCGACTCCGTTTTTTAAATAGAATGATATACTTTCTCATATATATTCTGATAGAACGTTTCAAGACATTTTAAAGTAATCACATGAAAAATTTGTATTCTATACTTTCGACTTATTTTTCCATGTAGAATCACCCCCTTTTCGCTTGTACCATCAGTTACCGAACACTCTGTATAATTCAAACTCCAATTCTCGTTTACGTTTCATTCGTTGATTGAACGACTAGATAAGAATGTTTTCCATCTCTGGTCTAAAGCAATACAGGGATGAGCACGGCGACCCAATTTATCCACTCGATGAAAAAAATGAACGTTGGGACGTGAAACTAATCGAAATTTTTGTATATCGGTTGCACGTATACGCCAATAGTGTTTGCGGCTCAACCGCCACGAACGATGAAATTTGTTCACGTTTGCTTTTGTTACGTCAGCTGGTCGGTCACATCATCAAAGGGGGTGGAATAGCAATCACGGGACAGGAACAACGACAACTGGGCGGCGGCTTTTTGGAAGGCGATGGTGCACCTCAGGGTAAGATATAATTACTTGTTCCAGTCTCAGAAAAGGTACACTATCTTCTAAAATTTAGAATATATTCACTTTGGCTGAACAAATTATAATTCCTAGAATCAGTTTTCACTCTCACTTTACTACAATTCTCGATAATACTCATACAATTCTTGATGAATAATCATTTTTGAATTCACAAAATATTTATTCCTACAATTTGTTTCAACTTTTTTTAGTTTTGATATTCATTACTCCAAAATATTCAGTCTATAAAGTGTAACATTTTTCTACTTCACGTTTTATGTACTTAAACATAGCTATAAATTAATGTCTAAAATAATTTGTTAGTTGACGTTTGTTTAACAACCAATCAGTACTCTTTATCACTTTTTCTCTTTATACATTGCACTTCATACTTTTATATAGAATAAATAAACAATAACTACTTTTGGTTACTTAAGCAGTTTAATTTCATTCGACTAAACGCGTGCTGCAATGAACAACTCGAGCGATCAGTAATAGTCGTTGGATTAAGGATTAATTATCCTTCAAATAATCTGCATGTATTAAATAAAATAAATACTGTCTTCCAGGATCGGGCGGCTATCTAGGGGAAGTGACGATGCTCCAATTATACAGCGTCGCCTTAACAGCTGGAAAGGCTCACAAAGATCACAAACACCACCATGCTCATCACTACGAACACGATACGAGTAACAACACGCCTAGACCTACGTCTCGTCCGCTTGTGACGCAGCCACCGCTTCCGCAAAGTCCCTTCCTTACCGGAGGACAAATAAATCCACAGGTAGGACACGTCCATCAATTTGATGATCATTTGCCTTAGTATTCGCATCTAGGTTCATTAATGTTTATTCTATTCGTTAATGATATCTCCATCTACTTCCTGCATACCAGAGTTCTATCTCCAAATTCGAGTCAGACACCGAGTATCCGATAAAATCAATTATTGACACTTGGCAGAAATTACGACAAATCATAAATAAACATATGTACAGAATTTGAAATTGATATGCTTAATAATTTGAAATAGCAATACAAATTAAATGTCACGTATATGAAGGAACTCTAAACTTGTTAGGCCCTTCTAGATTCACTAAAGTAAGTCCTGAAAGTAGGTTAACTTTTAGGTCATATAACCGTATGTACAGAATTTGAAATTGATGTGCTTAATAATTTGAAATAGCAATACAAATTAAATGTCACGTACTTGAAGGAACTCTATGTTGGTTTATTTAATAATAAATGTAACAAAAATAAATCTAGAGTCGAGGAACACTGCGTTTTTCGAAAGTGCAAGTTTCTTTTCTGATGCCTTTCGTAGTTGGGCCTCTGACAGTATTTATGACAGTATTTATGTTCAAGTTGAAAAACACACAGTGTGAAAAACATGTGGCAGACCCAAGCCGTATTTTTCATCTACGACGTGGGCGCCGGTTTTTCCTATGCGCTTTTGACAGAGCTCTCAGTCTCAGTTCGAATCTAGAAGAGAATAGGCATCCTTCCGTGTTCTTTAAAATAAAGAATATTTGATATAACGTATTTAATGTGAATTTGTTCTTTTACAAATCCCATAATCCAATACTCTAAACTAGTTAGACCCTTCAAGATTCACTGAAGTAAGTGCTGAAAGTAGGTTAACTTTTAGGTGAAAATCAACCCTGGATCGCCACTGCAGATCGTCCAAGGGGGCGTCACTTTGAGACATCCTGCCCTGGTACCCCGTGATCCACCGCCTCAGCCACTTCCGCCGGTGAATCCCGAATCCGTCTCGTCCGCGTTTCCCTTGCAATCTTCGCAATTCTTTGGCAACCTGCAGCCCGCCGCAGGCTTGCAGCATTCACCGAATGGACTAACCGGCGCTGGATTGAGCTTCGCGGATGGTCCCTACCGCAATCTATTCAAAAGGGAGAAGGATTCGTCGAGCGATGAAAGTACACACGGGGAATTGGACTCGAGCCTCGAGGTCCTGGCAGACTCCAAGAAATTGACGACGAAGAGAGACGCGCAAGAACCTGCTGTGGATAAATCGTCCGACGATAAGGTAAGAGAATTATTGAACAAGACAGGAATTTCACCGTAACGACCTCGATAGTCTATTTAGGTCGATTAGGTAGACAAAGGATTCGGAAATTTGCTTGTGGACATTTACTTTTGTCTAAACGTCATAATTTGGGGATTCTTGGGCCACTGACGATTGATGAAAGGGATATTTTTAGTGTTAACACTTTAACTACCGGTGTATTTAGAAAGACTAAAACTCAAAAGATTTTCTACATTAATATACAGAGTGATTTACGTAACTCACTCACCTCGATTAGCTTTTGAGGTATACATTTAATGAAAAAATGTTATATACATAAGTATACAAAAAGGAAACTTGATGTATAGATTTTTTCATAACATGCATATCTTAGATATTAATCGGAGCAAGAAAGTTTCATGAACCATCCTATACATACATTTATTTAGACTGATATTATTTTCTACACATTCTTAGTAGGAACACTACCGCTCAAAAGTATCCAGACACTTGCGAAATACATATGAATTAGCATTGCATAAAAGTTATTTAAGTACCTAAAGTAGTGACAAAAATCGATTTTTATTAGTTTCGTACGAACTTACCAATACTACACTAAAATTAAATACTTGCATAGAGATGAAACAAAGTAGATCTTGAGATTCTTTTAAGCATCGAGACCGTTTCATTAAATTTTGTATTTCTAGGCAAGAATTTTATTTCTCCATACTCATTATATAATTTGTACACAAAAATTAATTCTATTATGATATTATACCTGAAGAAAGATAACAATACTAATTACAATTGAGATAAGCGTTCTAAATACCTCTCGTACAAAGTTAAATTATGTTTTAGAGAACAGAAGCAAGTGTCCAGATACTTTTGAGTGATAGTGTAATAAACAGCCTTATCTATTTTCTCAAATTAGGATGAGCACTGTAACACGTTGACAAAGTGTTAACTACTAGTGCTACGAGATGTTCACGATTATCAAATGAAAGATATAAGGGAGGGAAAGGCGAAAGAAAGAATTTGCCCAAATTTGAATGAAACGAAAAGCGAGTTCAATATCGGAACATTTTTAAAACTTCTAACATACGCGTATTTCCAGGTGACATTCGTGCCACACACGGAACTCGAGGAATTCGAGGCGAAGAAGTTGCAGAAACGAGATTCTACTAAAAAGAAGAGAGGATTGGTGCAGCTGGGCGATGGACTGATCGTGGATGACGGTTACATCCCCCAAGGTCTGGACAACGAGTACTTCGCGGGATTGACGAACTTCGGTCTTCAGCTGCCCAAGTACGAAAACAAGGACGACGAAAGGGAACCGGCGGAGGCCGAGGTCAAGATGGTAATGGATATCTGCGATGGGTGTGCCCCGGAGCCCTTTGAAAAGGCATTGATCATGGCGTGGAGGTCGGTTCCTAAGAAATTGTACTCCGGTGCTCTGCATCTTCCAGCTTTGCAGTCGTGCAAGGCGTTTTAAGCGCGATCAACCGATTGAAAGAGAAGACCCGTATCACAGTTTCCGCAAGCTTCGCTCGCCATCGATCCCAATGATTTACATTCATCGCCGGGTCACGACTGTCGATGTCTATCGCTGACACTGGATCCCTCCTACGTGCTGTGAACTCGTGGCCAGCGAATTTTGAACGTTAGCTCGATTACGCGATTACTTGCGAGCCAGAATCGGGGTCGATTACACGGACAAGCTCCGATTAGAAACGTATTTATTTACATAGGGTAGGTCTGTCGTTAAGTTAGGACTAGCGATGGGACGGATCTGATGACATACTCGTTAACATCGATACGTATCAATTTACAAACGTAGACGCGAACAGATATCGAAATAAGTAGTCATTGATGTTAGTAGAACTTGTACTTGTTTGTATTTCTTGTGGTATCGCCGAGCGTCTAATAAGACAACGATATAGCTGGTCTAGTATCTCGGTTGGAAGTTATTTCCAAGGAAAGAAAATTAATTTAATTTGTAAATTAATAGTCCCATTACTAGTTAAGATAACGCGGATAGCCGAGGCTGAATTAAGGACTGGACTTTAAGGGCTACAGACGCCTAGAAGCCGTTGTTAATTAAAGAGATTAAGAGTCCAATGATTTTAAGTATAAGCACGAAATGTAGCAAGCTTCCAGTATCTACAACCTTGCAGGAAAGAATGGATTAGCTTCTTCACTACCTAATGTTGAAATAACAATATGGATTTATTTGTGTTTAATGATAAATAATGGAGAATAATTTGGCTATAGCCGACACAAGCAGTAGAGATTTAATTTAAAGCAAAGTCTCTCTTGGAAATCTGTCTCATTAAGTTTAATTTCTATTATCATCTTTGTTCTCCATAAGTAGTCTCCTGATCTTTTATTGTTTTACTATTTGAGACGTTGAGACACAGAACGTAAACTTCCCAATATTAATTGAATCGATAATAAGGTAGAATCTCTGTCAGTGTTATCTGCCTGAACCGTAGATCAACCATCCTCAAATTAAGAGTAGGTTCTCCAAGACGAAACATTTATAGAGATCCACAATGCCACAATAATGTCTAAGCATACTTGTTCCTACGATAATTGAAGAAGATGTTCTCAACAACTCACAATGTTTCTATATATAACAACATACACGTTACTCGTGTTTCGATGAAATTGTCTACTTGAATTTCAATTGTTATTAATAGACTGCAGATGTTTATGCATTCATGGCAATTGGAGTTATGGGTAAATCTATGAGAATACGCATAAATGCAAAAATATATAAAACATCGACAACAATATGCATGTTATACAGTTTAGAAGATAGTTTATACTTTCATTTCAATTTCGACTCTTTTTCTGTGAAAGTATGAATTTACATAAATATCCGCAGTCTAGTTATCAGCTTCGTGAAAATCAGTTTAATTGTTCTGTAACTGTTTCATGCCTATGGAAGTACTATTACGAGGTCGTACTGTAGCTCAAAGGTCTGGGAATTCTTAATCGAGCGCTGTGGACAACGAATGTTTTGCGTTCGGTGAATTACGTTTGTATACGAGATGTGCTTCGAGTAACAGTATTATGTATTTCAAAATCGATGCAGGAAGCAACGAATGTACGTCGTCGAATAAAGTTTACAAATACATTATAAAACTCACCTTGCTCTTGTGAATGTGCTGATGCTGGTACTCGCTGTCGAACTCAGGCTCGCTGAAATAGCTCTGGTCTTCCCAATGAGGAGGTAATCCCAATGGTGCATTCCCGGGTATTCCTCCCAAAGGTCCTGGCATTCCCGTGACACCGTCGGTGCTCTCGAAGAGTCTCAAGACGCTGCGGTCTCGGATGTCTCTCAGATGAGATCTGAAACGAAAATGATATATCTTTGTCAACGTGTCATTTCTAAAGAGTCAAGATTACAATTTACATGGTAATTTATTTATGGTATTTATTGAACAATTAATTTCTTAATCTAAGGAACAGTGTATCCTTTCTTTGCCTGTGAGTTCAAATAATTTCAATGGAGCGAATCGTTCTTTGGTGTGTAAGCAAAACTCAATTAACTTGTATATTCATATTGTTTGTAATTTCTTTTTATTATGATGTGCGTTTCAATTTGCGTTAATACGAGGAATGTGGACTATCTCTGCAATGTCTTGTATCGTGTTACATGGATTTCGTTTAATCAGCGTTTCGATTCGGTCATCACCAACGACTGCAGGATTATCAGAACGTTCTGTCTTCCAGATAAAAATTGCCACTTTTAAACGGAGAAAACTACTACGGACAGTACTCTCAGCTCACAATAATAGACAATCTAATTCTTAGATGTTGATGTTGTAACAGTAATGGAGCAAAATGAATCGTACACAATTCAATAATGTAACATTAGACATAAAATATTGTGTATGTATTACTTGTTAAAAAAACGAAAGAAACTTTTGGGACAACCTAATACGTGCGCGCGTTTAAACGTAACCTATTGAAAAACGCAGTGAACGTTTGTTCAAACCTAACACACAGAATTGAGTTTTGCTTAAGTATTTATTAAAGAGCAATTCACTCCTTTGGCATTACTTTACTGTATTCGTTTATTGTGAAGTATTTTATTTTAGTATTCAAATTGTAATTATCATTTAACGAGTAACGGAGAAATCTAAGCTCTTCAGGAAAACTGAAATTAATGTACGTTTAGATTTTAAATTATCGTTGTCCGTAAATATTATAGTGTGGAAAGAACGACTAAAATTGTTATTAAATATTCATAATTAAATTTTTCGATGACACATTACAGGGACTCAATATTTATAGATAATATGTTTGTATTCGTTCAATTTATAATGACATTCGACACAATGTCGCTATTATTTAATTTTCAAAATTTTTTACGCAATGACTATTATGCTTTCTTATGGACGTATGAAAGCAAATAAATTTACAAAAATCTGAGATAGACTGTACGTTTTACAATAAGATAGTTCATATATTTAATTATTAAAAAGCAGTTATCACCATCATTTTATTCAACGCTATTATTTATTTTACGGTTCGACTCTTCACTTTCAAGTCATCTTCTTTGTGTTGCAGTTACAATACAATTTACTAAATTAAAGTATAAAAGAACTGTCCTACAATTATTACAAACAACGTTGTAATTATACTTTTCTTTGCTATCTCTGAAAATAAAAAAGATTCTATACATTTAAAAATCATGATACTATTGATTCTAGTGGTACGTATGTATATTGTATGATATTGGGCAAATTACAATTGACACTCACAAGATCATATGTTAAAAAAAAATAAACAACATTTAGTTTGGGCCTAATTGTCTTCTTATCTGGCTACTGGCTTTGATTTACAGCAAACGCTAGTTTAATAGAATTAATTTCTAGAAGAGAAACGAATAGAGTTCAAATAGAGAATAGCCGAATCGAAAATACCACAAGTCAGACACGTGTTTATTGTTTATAGACCAAATTCCATACCACGAGTCTCACTCGTGGTTGTAGGCCAAAGGGTTAAGTAAATGTAGTAAATTCTATTGTAACATTCGTGAGTTGTCGAAAACGACTGCTCGACATAAAGTTGTAAAGTAAAATAAATGACAGAGTTTGAATTTTCGTCGATTTCCAATGAAATAATTCGTTCCTGAAGAGCCTAACAGAGGTTCGCGTTGCAACTGTAAGGTTAATGGTACCTGAGATCTTCGAGTTCGTAGAACATGTTCTTGCTGCTGTCGTGTATGTAAACCTTGACGTGAGGACTGTCTAGATATTCCATGGTAAGTTGCTTCGGGAAGCTTCTGACAAAGAGAGCCTTGACGGTGTCTATGCTTGTGATTTCGTTCGGTAGAAGCGCCCGCTTCGTCTCGTTCCTATACTGCAGGAACACTAGACCTAAGGAATCGTCCACAGAAACGCATCGTTTCGTCATGAATGTCCGATAAGGGCATGGAGCAGCGAGGCAGCAACATGACGCTCCTAATTCTATCGCGGGTCGTGAGTTACCTAATGGTCGCTCCAGAGTTTTGCTGGGTGTCCGTACGACGGGGAGGCTGCTTCTTTGTTTGCCACCCCGTCGGAATCCGGTGCTAGATGTCTCCACCTCGGACATGATACCCGGGTCATCATCGAACAACATCGTCGAAGAGGGAGGCGGGAAACCGCGCGGTAGAGGCGACTGAAAGTACAAATGATCGCAATAAACATTCAGCTCTCGAGTGCCCCCCGTTGATGCTTCCACGATGAATACTTTTCAATCGAATGAAAGGAGTCTATACCATTTGGATGAGCGCTTTTCGATATCTATGGGTATGGGCACAAAGGGGTGTTCGCGTATAAACAAACTATAAAACGTTAAGGCTCCTGGGCAGAGATTCGTATTGAAAATGAATTTTGACAGGGTGGAGCAATAACTTCATCCACCTTCGATATTACCAATATTTAGACTTTTATAAAAAAAAACTTGTTAGGATAAAGTTGCACTGTTTTGAGAGATAATGGTAAAACATAATTTTTTCCAGGGTCAATTTTTAATTATATTTCAAGGGGCATTAATGTTTATTTAAATGGAACGCTAAAATCTTCAAATTTGTATGTAAAGGCAACTATTAAGAGGATTTCAGAATGTTACGAGATCATTCAAGGTCACTGCAGACTAGAATTTAAATTTATCGTAGAAAATGTTTGAATTCGTTGACTGGTATGTATATAAATAATCTTACTGCATTGAGGAATCAGCATTTGCCAACCAAATGCTTCCATACATTCTCGGTAAGAGAGATTGAGTGACCTTGGACAACCTTGTACAGTACCATTTTAAAATTGTCTCGACATTTAATAAAATAAGTGGCTACGACATATAAATTTAAAAAACATTACGTTCAATTTAAAAATTATTGATGACCTTAAGATTTCATGAAAAAAATGATCTTGGAAAGAATTATGTTCTGCCATTATCCACGTCTCTCAGAATAGTGCAACTTTGTCCTAACAAGTTTTCTCACAAGACTATAAATAACGGAAATATTTAAATTAGACAAAGTTATTGCCTCACCCTGTATAATACAGCGAATAACGCGTTCAGAACAGAGGACATGAAATTTTATCTTCCCTCGGGACTATCTTCGTAAAATGAAGCTTACCTAAGGTAAATGAAATATAATTGTCATTTAATTGAAAAGGTGTTATAAATCTCTAAGGTGCGACGCAAAAGCCTATTAATCTCTCGAGGGACGACTTTTAAATGGATTTTTTGTTCCTTTAATGGAATATACACGAAGCCAAAGCAACCTTTATCTGTAAATTGATTCTGACGTACGAATATCCTGGGTCACTTTAATATTGTATATGTTTTAATTCTAAAAGGTATTGTGATCGTTGATCAGAAATAATGTTCATCATAAATCTCTGATCTTCTACAATATTTTCATACCCTGAAGATTCAGTAAGAGCTCATCCTTGTAGTAGACTCCCCTTGTAAGAGGAAAAAATTACAGCAACGACGAGAGACGATGAAAAATAGTCGCATGCTCTCGTGCGATTTGAAACAGTACAAGGCGTCGGAGAAAAGGAGAAGTATCGAAAAAATTACCTTTCTCTGGCGAGACTTGGTCCCCATCTGTTAGCGGCGGCGCGTACACGGAAACACACACACACAAGTAAACCAGTTAGATGTATATATGCATGGAACAGAAAAAAAAGGGATTTCGCTGGAAATGCACTCTCGTGAGGTAAGAGCGAAACGATGCGATCGCGGGCACGCGATCGATCGATTCCGGCAGCGGTCGACTGGTCCAATGGCGAACCCAGGATCGAGGGTGGTCGGAGTCCTGCAAAACTCTCTACACTAGGGGTGGGGAACTTGTGCCCTTTGGGCGTGTTTGATGTCTCCCTTTTTCATACATAGCAATTTACGTAATATTCTTTGTTTAAATATAATGCGTTCTCAGATAGCATCTATTTTAATTGATGAAATTTTAAGGATCTAAAAATGATACTTGGTTACGTATTT